AATTCTGGTGAAGGTTGTACCCCAGTGTGCTGCTGTAATAGTATTTTTAAAGTTAACGTTTGGTTTCCTCTGCCCCTTCTGATTTTTAGCAGTGGAGCTGAACAGCCACAACTCCTTTCAAAAGCAGTTTTTCCACCAGTGAGGAAGTGGAGGGAGTGGCTGTGCCTTTCTGACTTACATGGGAAAATACACACAATTAATTGGATATGTGAAAAGTGGTACTTCAGGAAACTTGGTACTTGACAATTTTCCACAGGTTTGTTAATGAATAAATACTTCATGCTTCAGCCTTTGAGTGAAATGGAAAGCGCTGTTGTTAGGCTGCTTTTGGATGCTGACCACATCTTGGAAAAGCTGATCCCCCCTCGATGTCCCCTTCTAATTAAATTCTTTGCAGCATCTTCTGGTGGGGTCAGATGAAGTTTTAGTCCTCCCTCCCTGCTCTGGCCACCTGAACCTTCTAATTAAATTCTTTGCAGCATCTTCTGCTGGGGTCAGGGAAGTCCCTCCCTGCCTCTGGCCACCTGATCTGCTGTCATCCTTTTTGGTGCTGGCATTCATTGGGATGTTCAGTGAGTATTTAATTCCTTAACCTGGCAGAGAACCATTCATTTTTCTTGGCTGTAATAATAATTTGGCATTTTAATGAGTTAAATACAGCTTAGAAAAGGATCAGCAGACCTGGCAGAAACTTAAGATATCACCAGTTTCATGAAACTTGATAGGATTCTTTTGGGAAGCTAAAAAGAAAATTGGTCTTTCTAAGGTTCAATTTACTGTTGATGTATTTAAAATGTTAAAACTGGCTTCCATATAACATAATCAGGTTTAATCTAAGTCTTTTCAGCAAGGTGGTACAAATTATACTTACCTGGCCATGCTGAAAACAGTTGCATTTTCTAGTAAAGCTGACTAAGGCAGGATATTTTGGTACACAGATGGTTAAAAAACTGTACTGTTTAATCCAGGGGATTACCTTTCTTTGGAGCCTTCTGAGAGAAACCTCTTCAGGGCATCCTGCTTGGTTGGAGTACGTAGCAGATGGCTTGTTGCTGCTGAATACACCACCTTTTAAAAATACAGAGCAGCTTTCAGTGCTCTGAATTAGAGCCACTTGTGGAAACAGTAGGAGAGAGAAAATCCTGTCTTATGAAGTCCTCTGAACTTAAATAACTTGCACCTTTATTGTCTGTTTCATATTTGAAAAACCAAAGGTTGTGTTTCTGGTAGGAATACTCTTCTGTTCCCTTAAACAACAAACTTCCCAGATGAATTCCCGTTACCACCTTCCATACCAGTTTTGAAAAATAAATACAAACATCCCATTCTCCCAAACTCCAGATACCCTGAACTGTTCAGATTGAAGAGATTAAAGATTGCAGCAGTGTGGAATTTTATTCCTATGCCTGCCTTTATTCTTGACAGCCAGCCTGCAGACTGATTGACATCGCCTGGATCAAATTGAATTAATTTTTTAAATTAAAAAAATAAAATAAATTTGTAAATTGGCCCTGATTTAACAGTAGAGATTTTATTAAGCAGAATGGAGTGTATGTGTGTGACCTGCAGCATCTGTGCACCAAGGGCATGTTGGATTGATTTTAAAGGAAGTTTGTTACACCTAAATAGAGCTAAAAGACTTGAAACAACACATGTTCATAATGCCCTTGAAGCTCCAGTTTGAAGTGGTACCTTTGTGTGGTGGTTTTAACCCGGCCAGCAGCCAAACACCATGCAGCTGCTCACTCACCCTGCCCCACCTGGGAAATAGGGGAGAGAATCAGGAGGTTAAAAGTGAGAAAACCCGTGAGTTGAGATAAAAACAATTTAATAACTGAAACAAAATAAAAATTGACATAATAATGACAGTAATAATGGAATATACAAATGAGTGATGCACAGTGCAGTTGCTCACCACCTGCTGACTGATGCCCAGCCCATTCCCAGCTAGTGATCCCAGAGGAGAGGAATCCCAAAACCCTGATCCTGGAAGAGTGCAAGAGTGAGCTTTCTGCCCTCATTTATATACTGAACGTGATGTTATATTGATATCCAAATATAATGCCAGTGATATCCAAATAGAGCTCCAGTAATATCCAAATATAACGCCAAATGCCAGTCTGGATCTGTTAATCTTACTGCACTCCCCCCTAGTTTCTTCTGCACCTGCAGATTAACAAGACATGAGGAGTTGGAAAGTCCTTGATTTCTTAACAAGAAGGAAAAACATCCGCATGTTGTCAGCATTCTTCTCACACCAAATCCCACACTGAAACCAAAACACAGCACTAGCCTAGCTGCTAAGAAGAAGATGAGCTCTGTCCCAGCAAAAACCAGGACACTTTGGAAGAGCTAATTTCACGTGTACAATCCCAATCAGGATGCTTTTTTGTTTGTTTGTTTTTCCCCTCTTCAACATCAGATGAATCCCTCAGGTCCGTGGCAGAGAGCAGCAGCGATCGATAGACACCCTCCCCGTGGTTGGGTGCTGCTAACGGGTGACCGGCACGGTCGAGCTGCAGGAGGGTGTCCTAGGAGGGCTGTGAGGAAGCCGTGGTGGCTGGAGAACAGGAGGAGCAGACCTGTGTGATTAGCTAGATTACCAGATAGACGTCAGGATCATCAATCCTTGACCTCAGTTCTGGGACCGCTTGGCTGGAGGGGGCTGGGAGGCTGCAGCCAGGTTGACCCGTAGTTGTGGGTGGGAAGAGGCTGTCGTGGAGGGTTGCGCCTGGTGTATTCCTGTGTGTGGTATTTCTTTCCTGAAATAATTTGTTTTTTTCCTTTCACTGAATCAGGTGGTGCCCAAGTAAAGAAGTTTTTTTGTATTGTGTCTCACAGCACTCAATAATTTTCCTCTCATACAGAAACCTGTTGGTAGCTGAATGGTATCCTTGAAAAGAAAAGATTTTCTCTCCCTACCCACACATTCACCTTCCAGATTTTGAATTCTTACCCAAAACCATTAGGGTTTAGACTTTTTATTATTATTAATAATAATTTGTAGCTTCCTTATTAAATAGCCTTTAATTAAACTGACCAGAGCTACCAAAGAGGGACATCAGATGAGAATTTATTAGTTTAGCTGGTGTGTTCCAGTCAAAGAAAGTGATCGTAGTGTCCAACCTTAAACTAACGTCACCTTGGAGAGGTCAGGTGTGGAAGTACTGAGATGAACAGGGAAGTGGTAATGTCTCTATCCACATTGTTGCCACTCAGTGGCACTTGTACAAGCGTGACCATACCCACGTGTGGGTGCAGACAGAGCTGAGTGGTTTTCATGAGGTGTATCAACGCTGTGAGGTCACACCCAGAACCACACGGCGCGAGATGCGACGTCTGAAAGCTTTTCTTTCAGGTTGCCTCTTACAAGCTTGAAGTTCTTAACTTCGTTATATAAGATAAAGGGTTAAATTGGAAAAGTCTAGTGCTTTAAATATCTTTTTCAAAGGCTGCGTAATCTGGTGTGTGGGCTAACTGTAATGACATAATCCAAACAGAGCCAGTAGTCCTCTCTTCCATGCTCATCCGTATCCTGGGCTGCATCAAGAGAAGCGTGTCCAGCAGGTTGAGGGAGGGGATTCTCCCCATCTACTCTGCTCTTGTAAGGCCCCACCTGGAGTGCTGTGTCCAGTTCTGGAGCCCCCAACACAGGAGAGACCTGGAGCAGCTAGAACAAGTGCAGAGGAGGGCCACCAGCATGATCCGAGGGCTGGAGCACCTCTCCTATGAAGACAGGCTGAGGGAGTTGGGGCTGTTCAGCCTGGAGAAGAGAAGGCTCTGGGGAGATCTTATAGCGGCCTCCCAGTACCTGAAGGGGCTACAAGAAAGCTGGGGAAGGACTTTTCATAAGGGCAACTAATGACAGAACAAGGGGAAATGGGTTTAAACTGAAAGAGGGGAGGTTTAGATGAGATATTAGGAAGAAGTTCTTCACTGTGAGGGTGGTCAGACACTGGAACAGGTTGATCAGAGAAGC